GTTACTGGACAGACATTAAATTTCCTTTCATTTCATGATAAAAAGGCTAGAACTTGCATCTCCACAGAAAAAGTTAGAATCCCATGTTGGAATTGAAAATTTGAAAGTGTTGAAGAAGGTATTACTTGGACGATTTAAATTCCAGCAGTCCATCACAGTCATATGGTATAAATATTGCGTATAAAGACTAAAGAGTAAGAAGACTAAAGAGTAAGGCACAAGCTTTGGTGTCCATCAACTTAGATTTATCCAGTGTGTGGGAGGAAAACACGATTTCGTATTGAAAAATACCTTCAATAAACCCAGGTGGAGGTATGGCCATCCATATGCACTCAGAGTGCTCTAAACATAGATGGATTAGAGCCATTGTTACTCAGTTGAACTTGCCAGCAGGACAAAATCACATCATGACAGGAAGAAGGACCCATATCAGTCGGTAGTGGCAATAGGTCATCAGAGTCTAATTTCTTTTACCACACCATGATTCATTACTGGAGTTATGAAGTTGAAAGTCATCAAATCCCAAAAGTTTCCATCATTTTCCTGCATAGGAAGAATATTAAAAATCAGTAAAAGTAAAATCATATCAGTCCTGCAAATTGGAAATAAAAATAACTGAATAAAACAACATGAAAAGAGTATATTTTCTTTAAAAAATAAACCAAACATATAATTATCTCCAAAAGAATTATGAAATTTTCTTAATTATCAAAAGCCCCATACTAATAAAAAAATGGGTTAAATATGTTTTTAGTGCCTAAACTATTGGCCGTTTCTGGTTTTCGTCCCTCTTTCAAAGTAAGGTACAATTTGGTCCTCATTCTTTTCGAAACGTTCGTTTTAGTCCTCGGAACTTTGGTTTTAGTCCTCATTTTGTTGCTAAATGAGGACCAAATTTTTAAACGGTGTTAGTTTTCGAGGACTAAAACGAACGTTTTCGAAAAGAATGAGGACCAAATTGTACCTTACTTTGAAAGAGGGAAGAAAACCAGAAACGGCCAATAGTTTAGGGACTGAAAACATATTTAATCCTAAAAAAATTTGTACATTTCCCCTTTAACTTTTCCACCAACCAACTATTAAGAACTAAATTGTATTTAAATTAAAGTTATACTCTACACTTCATCCCATACAACATGGAGACTAATTATTTTGAGAGTAAGCAAAGGAGTCTATGAAGAGAATTATGTTTGATGACTAATCAGACTTCCAAGGTCTTGATAATCACCTTCCTCAAGGTCCACGTCGTTCGAAAGAAGTGGATCCTCCAAAAAACTAAAATTGTGACAGCAAATTCATTCAAAATTAAAATGTGCTCTAGAAACAAAAATGTAATTTTCATATCTTTATACTAAATCACATATACTATAAAATGAATACACTATGCTTGCTACTACAATCAAAACAACTCATTTTAAATGGCATCAAATGCTTCCTATACAGCATATAACCAAGGCTATTTACGAATCTAGCAGGGCAAACAGTTTAAAGGTCAGGCAAATGGTTTAAACTAATGTGTTCAAAAGAGAGAAAGATTATCAATTTTAATAGCTTCTTTTAAAATTTTATCTAAAGCTTATCACTAATTTTATCGAAAAAAGAAAGTGACCGTGTAAGAAACACATGCCACTATATACCTGTTTTTGTAAGATGGTCTCTTTATCCTTATCACATTGATGGCTATGCCAAATGAGATATTCAATAGAAGAACTAAGCTTTCCGTGATGCAAATTGAAACCTAATATTAAAAGTGCGTCAATATTAACCTCCCTTAACAAAATCTTCTAAGATCAGTGAGTACCTGGCCATCTGACCTTCAATCAATCTTCTGACTACATCCAAGCACAACGACCATAACAAAAGTCACTATGTTAACTCCAAAACCTATAACAGTACGAAATATTAAGGAAAACCAATTCATATGTACTTGTGTGTATAGTGCTTGAGCTGAAACTAAAATCTCAAAAAGAATGAGGATATATGTCTTCAAAGCAGTCAGAGAGCATCTCTCCATCCCAAATCTGTAAATCAGAATGAGATTCCAATGAATTTCCGTGATCTTTAATGTACATACATTAAGGCACACTATGATATTCCTTTAATTTTTAGTCATTTTTCAATATCTTAGAAAGAATGTTAGTCACTAAGTGGCAGTGTCACACTGTAGATAATTTTGAAGTCAAAACCTATCAAAAAAGAACTAAAGAAAGCTGAAGGAAAAAAAAACTGATCTTATTACTTCTCTGTTCAAAAGAAAGAAGAACAAAGAAATTATACTGCTAACTGTCAAAACAGAGAAATAAACACCCCTAAGCTGATAAAGCAGAAATATTCATATGATTGTAATCTCAAAACTCCAAAAATGTTTCCATACCCCCATCAAGCAAGCCCCAGAACAAGAATTTAGTAGCAATATATGGAGACTAAGTCTTCATGGAATAAAGAATTACAGTTTATTTGGACGGAGTCGAAAAATAACACAAATAGAAAAATACAATAGTAAAACGATACTATTTAAAGAAAAATGGTGGTAGATTAAAACACAAAATGTATAGCAGCAGGTGACAAGTGTTGGTTGCTGGTAGAAAATAAAGAAAAGAAGAACATTGGAAAGAGGAAGAGATGCGTACAAATGGAGAATTAGGGCAAATTAGATGCAGGAAATCGTCCATGGAATAGAAGAAAAGCAGAGATAGAACGAGTGAGTGACGCATATGGCGTGCTATGTCGTGGGGTTGCTTTATATCGTGTTCATGCATAAATAACAACTTATGTTATCAAGATTATCTAAACGTAACTTGTTATTACTTATTTTTTACTTAAATTTTGAATCTAAACTTAGCTTAATTATATTAAGATTTTATTTGGATTACTATCCTTAAATGCAGTTGAAGTACTGAAAACCTTATACAAGAAATTAAAGAAAAATTAAGAAAATTAAAATTCAGAAAGTCAAAAATTAACTCTCATATGCATGTCACGACAAATAAAAAAATTAATGAAATAAAACCTATTATAGAATATAAAACTTATGTTAAAGACATGCACAAAACACTAAATAGTATAGTTAGGTTCGGAACTACGAAAAAGAAAAATACCAGAAAATTATTTAATCAAACTAAAAGTACTATAATCTGTTTATACGTATAATTTACAATAACAATATATTGGTGTAATCAAATCCACTGGCATAGCTTGGTTTGTAATAAAGGGTGGCCCCCAAATTTTAATACATAAACAAAATTATTTATTTAGTTTTAATATATATTTATATATTTTGTTTCTTTAAAAATTTTGTAGATTTATTTTGACACTTCAAAAATTTAAGACTTGTTACTTATGAAATCCATTTATCATAAGGGTTTATTGTTTATTGTTGTTATTGGGTTAAATAATTTATATTTATTGACTGATAATTTTACCTATATTTATAATATTCAAAAATATATATTATCAATTCTAAACTTAATAAACTTGTTTAAGACAATAAAAAATGGTGGAATGATATTAGAGTGAATAAAAAATATCTTAATACTCATTTTTATCTCTTTCAGTACAGGATCGAGTAACTCTACAAAACACACTTTCACACTTTTACTCCTTAATCGTTTGGGTCAGAACAATGTCTTAAATTCACAATAGATATAATTACATATCTCTTACTTTTTAACTTCTATTTATAGTTTTTGAGATGAATAATCACAGTTCAATCTAAGCCCATTATACACTAATTACACTTACTCTTAACCTTAAATTGCAGTGTCTCCTAAAAAATACTCTACTATTTGAAAATATTCGTTCAATCCTTAACCACACCTGACCAAACGACCATTGTCTAGCATTCTTCAAATTCGAGGGTTCAGTAACTGACCGCCCTTAGCATCTGACATTTTTTTTCATTTTCTTTAAAATAAGAATAATGAGCAGCGTGAACTTTGTTCGTCATAGAAGTCATTGGAGAGATGGCTGAAAGGTCTTTAGCATGGACCTTCGTTTCCAAACTCTATCTATCCTTCTTTAAGACAACCGAGAAAGCAAGTCGACAAATCCTTCGTCCACTATATATAGTGATAGGATTATTTCTGGAATAACAATTGATCTCCACATTGAAGGAGCGGAGATTGATGGTCGAGACAAGGGGGGAGAGCTCGACCAAATCTGCCAATCATCTAGGACTTTACACAACGTACTTCTAGCTAAAGAAGGACCGGGAGTATTGAATGATAAAAGTGTCCATCCAAAATTACTATGCATGATAAAAATTGATGTTTAAGGTTCTCATTATCAATCGAAAGGAAACACGTTAGGTTTTTTGAAAACGGGGAGACATTACGTTAATTTTTTTAAAATAATTACTTTCAAATTAAATTAAAAACCTAAAGCACTAAAACTAAAATATTAACCGAAACAACAGTTAAAAAGAAAAAGGCTAATTAACCTTTCAAATCAATAAATACAATATCGCCCATTTACATCCATAATCCCACATAAAAACACTAACCAATAGCTGATAAATATATTATACAAAAATCTATTTCAATGAAATTAATTGGTCAAAATTGAACCGCAAAAGAATACAATATTTCAATCATTATAAATTAAAAATATTTTCTCGGCCCTAACAATAAACAAAACAGGATCCACTCAACATAAACCAAGAAAATATCAAAATGTGGATATTACTTGACTAATTTAAAAAATATAAAATTTAACGAGTCAACTTAGATATCCAGGGCTGAAAAAAAATATGAAAAAAGGATGTTATAACTATTGAAGGAGAATCGGTGAGGCATACACGTTCGGAGGATTGTTCGGTGTACTCGTTATTATACCATATAAACAGAAAATAAATTCATAAATATAAAATATCAAAAATTGGATGCAACTGCATCCAAATGCAGTTCATTCATTAAGTACCATAAAAAAGTCTACTACCAAAATGAAAGTAATATTGGGTGCAAGGACTAGGACAGAGCTGGAGATTTTAATGAAATAGCCCATGAGAAAAACAAAAGTTTTTAAATAGATAAAAAGTACAAGAAAGTAACATTAAAAACACACTAAAAGGCAGTCGCAAAGCAACCAAATATAAGAAATTCTTCCTAAGACATTCTCTGAGCAGCTTCCTTGGCCAGAAGCTTTTCCTTTGCCCGGGTTTTGGCTTGGGATTTGGATCCCATGATTCCACCACCCCATTTCTTTCTGTATTCGTCATACTTGTCATTGAAGTTAGCCTGAAAGGAATATCAAACACATTACATTAGTATTTCACAAGAGCAGTAAAAGCATAAAGAAATCAAAATAATCTCATCAACACTACCTTGATAGCCTCCAAGACTCTGCTGAACTCCAATTTATCTTCATTCTTTACAGTTGTCAAGCACAAAACAGATGCGGTTTTCTTGTGGACGACCTGATATGATGGATTACAACAATCATCAAATTAGAACAGCCATTGAAATTCAGTTATACAGCACGACAATCTTAAAATTCAAAGAAACACTACCGTTCCCAAGCGCGCCTTTCCTTTCACAATGCAGTATGGGATTTCCATTTTCCTGCACAATGCTGGAAGCCAGACAACCAATTCAATTGGGTCCACATCGTGAGCAATCACAACAAGCTGGGCTTTGTTCTGCAAGGAAACAAATGAACATGTTAAACTTATAATGATAGAGTAAGAATAAACTACAAACACAAGGTTTTAATAAAACTGAAGACAACCTGCTCAATGAGGTAGGTAACATGGTTGAGACCATATTTCACATTAATAGGCTTCTTGGCCTCGATAGTTTTACCCTCAGCCTCTGCCTGTGCCCTTTTCAAAAGTCTCTCCTTCTTTTCTGCTTTATCCTCTGGCCTGTACTTCAACAGGATCTTAAACAGACTTGTTGCTGCAAATTAGGTTAAAAAAAACATCGATTTCAGAAACAGGGAATTCTAACAAAAGCTGAAGCCGCGATTCAATAAAAAGTATAATATAAATAATGGATAACAACCTAAAAATCGTAATCATCGTTAGCCTTAAGTTAATGGAAAAAACTATCTCAACGTTTGTAACGAGACCGCTGATAACTTCCCTTAATAGCACGCCAACCTAATTTCCCTAACAGTTACCACAAAATATATATCTGATAACAACAGCCTCATCACTTTCAGATGTACCTAAGTAAATAAATACATATCCGATAACAGTAGCCCCAACACTTTCAGATAAGTAAATACATATCCGATAACAGTAGCCCCAACACTTTCAGATGTAACCTAAGTAAATACATATCCGATAACAGTAGCGCCAACACTTTCAGATATACCTAAGTAAAAGATGCATCTCAAACAACATAAAATTACGAAACCCTACCTCACATAACAACAAAATTTATATCAGATCCAACACTACACAAATTAATCTGACCTAGGTTTTTGTCGAGTGTCTTCGTAAACTGGTTCAAAGCTGGAGGAACCTTCAACCTCTGTTTCAGAATCCTTTTCTTCCTCTGAATCTGAACGGTCTTGGGCCACTTGACGAACCGAGTCAAGTCTCTCTTCGGCGGCAACGCTCCTCCGATTCCGAACTGCTTCGGACGCTTCTCGAAAAGCGGGTTAGTAACCTTCTCCTGAGATTCAAAATCAGAAAAAAAAAATATGAACAAAAACCGATAAATATAACCGAATCAGAAACCGAATTGAATTCCTAGAACTTATATACATACAGGCTTCTTCTTAGAGGCAGGAACCGGGGCTTTTCCACCACGCTTGGGAGCCTAAGAAATTAAACACAACAAAAATAGCACATTACACAAACGAAGACGAGGCTTCACATCAAAATCGACGATGATTAAATCAGAGCTACTAAATTCGAACAGTATAAATAAAATAAAATCGAATCGAAGAAAATGTTGAAATATGATCAGAGCAGAGGCGTAGAATTCTCTGGGACTCACCATTGCTGCAGCTGCTGTTTGGCGATGCGAGGAAGCTCTGAGTAAAACCCTAACTAGGGTTGTGTTTATATATCAGCAATGGGCCTGGAAAGATCCCTTTCGGCCCAGTTAAAAAAGAAAATAATATTTTTATGTTCATTAGAGTTTAATAATTAATTTATGCTAATTTAACTAATTTCATAATTACACAAATACTAGTGTATAAACTGGAAATTTTTCAGTATTTTCTTAAACAAGAAATATTACATTCAACTAATATGTAAAAAAAGCTATTATAAAAATGTATCATTTATTTTTTGTATAAGATAAAAAGCGTTCTGATTAATAAAGAATGTAAAGTCTATTTGTTGTGGTGAGAATAGATAATGGAATATAAAAATTTTAAAATGGATAGAGTCTTTTGTTACAGGTTTCTCCAAATAAATACTTTCAGAAAATCTTAAATCATAATTCAAAATATTTTAGATATGTTTTTTTTTTGAAAAAAAAAATCACATATTTAAAGTTAGAAAACATGGGGATTATTTGAAGTTTAATCCTATAGGTAGCTCTAGGTGTAATAATGTAGATACTTAATTAAATTTTCATTCAACAAAATTTTTTATTAATTTTTTATGATATTAATTAACTAATTTCAATTTCTTGATTCCATGATAGAAACTTAGATTAATCCAAGGATTGGTTAAGAGAGACTTAGATAATAAAATAAAATTAATAAATAAAAACTCATTAAGAACGCATGTTAACAAAATCTTTAGTTAATAATAATAGTTTATTTTGTAAATAGTATATGTTATTCTGTCATGTTTTATGTGGATTAGATTATAATATATCACTGTGAGTTGATTGATCGTTTAGTATGTTTCATACCTATATAAGTTTTTTTCATGAAATTGGACAATAATTCCAAATTGATAATGCAATTATGTCGATTTAAATCAACTTATTATTATTGTATATACTAGGTATGTTTAATAAGATTTGTGTTCAGAAAAAGTGTTTTTTTTAAGTGAAAAGAATTCACTTGTTATTATCCGTAATATGTTTGGTTAAGGTTATTTTAAAAGAATAAATTATAGTTTTTTTTTTATGAAAACATCATTTTTTATGTCTTTTCAACTTAGTCGCTTGTGAAAAAAGAGAATTAAAAAAAAACACAGCCAATTAAGTATTAACTTCTGCTTCCATACAAACACTTAAAAATTAACTAATTATAATAAGAAGCTTAATAAAATTTATTTTAATCTCATAACACACGTAAATAATAATAATAATAATGTTACAATGTTATTATTGTATTTAGTCACCTTAGTTTTTATTAATTTTTTATTTTGTATTTAATTATAAACTGTTTATTTCTGTGAGCACCTGGTTTTATTAGACATTGGTGTTTTATTTAAATTAATATATATGCTATGTGTATATATAAATATAGACTTAATGTCTCAATAGGTTTCTATTTTCGTCCAGAATTTCAAATAGGATCTTTTCTTCTCTGACGAAGGTCACCCATCCCAGAATTGCTCCAAGCTAAACACGCTTAACCATGGAGTTCTTATGAGTTAGGTTACCAAAAAGCAAATGCATTTGGTGATATGAGTAGCGAAATCAATCCTTTTAAGCTATCCTTCAACTGTATAGTCTCATACCTATACAGTCTCTAGATCCCTCTCATTCCTGTGTATGTTCGATTCATCCATGTGCCCCTTCCACTGAAAGCCTTGCCAGGAGCCGCTCCTTGTCAGTGCCCCTTGCACCATGCCTCACTTCCCGCCCTCTTGTCAGTGTCCGGGTGTCACACTTGGTAGGCAAAGTCCTTTTTTTTTAGGCTTTCAGGAAGAAAATGCTTCAATTTTTTTTAGTCTAATTGCTTTAGGTTTCTCAAAATTAGTTATAGAAAATTTTTGTTTAGTATTGTTTTACGTCTCAAAAATCCTTGAATTTGCTTTAAGCCTCCTAGAACCTCTGGTCATCCTTGGCAGAATCAATCAATTATATTAGGTCATGGCTAAAAAGAAAATAAGCTGCATGTCTAGACTTACTAAGTTACTTTGTATATAAGACAAGTTGTATAATAAAATCGCATGCATTTAATATTGCAAGAATATCGTTTAATATATTTATGTTTTTTTTTCTTTTTTGTCTTTATGTTTAATGTGTCTATGTGCTTATATGTGATTAAACGATAAACAACAATAGTGAAAGGTAGGTAAATCTTATAATGGCTCGGAAGGGATTTTTAATAGCCTTTTTAAAAAAATAAAATATTGACTTGTTAATGACAACATTTAAAAATTGTATACAAAATTGTCTTAAAGCTCGAAAAGTAATTCTAGGCATTTTTGTGTGTGATGGTTATTGTTTTTTATATTTGTAGTAGACTAGATGGGTGTTCATAATTGTGTATTCATCTAAGAACATTAATGTCATTTAATTAGAACATATAGAATTTTAGGATCACATATATATTTGTATTTTTGTGACTATAGTATGTTTCAGAGAAACTTCATCAAGTTAATAAAAAAATTAGACATAATATATGTATTTTACACGAATCAGTTTAAATATACCCTGTAAATCTCTATATCATTTAACTTTTATTTTACTTGTTATTGATTTGAAACTAACTTAAAGAAATGTGAACATGTTTTCTACAAAAAATAAAATAAAATAATGCATCTCTCGTTTTTCAAGTTGCAATTAACAAGTTTCGTAAAATACATTTCTTAAGAAACAACAATGTTAAAACTTGTCTATTTGTATTTATAAATAAAAATATTATAAATGTTGAGCCTTCTCCTAACAAATGTCATTGTTTGATATAGGATTCTAAATAAAAAAATTTGGTAAAATGCATGAAACGGTGCATATATTCTTTCTATTCTACAATATACTAATATGTTATAATTAGACTGTTATTACAATCAACACTTTATAAACAAAAGTATAATTGATCTTTTGATAGGGAGAACTATATTGACCTAATAAGGCTTGGTTATCATTCATCCAAATTTATTCTTCCTCCTTATAAAAGGAAGAGTGTTAGGAGTCACAGTGACCCTCCAAATGGGTATCGAGAAAAAAAATTGGAAAAAACATGTAGTCGTAAGGAAATGATGGACATGGCTCTTACGAATTTGAGAAAGAGAAATAAAATATAAAGAAAAATGTAACACACTTAGGTTTACAATAAGTTCAATTAAAAGTTACTTAAATGTATGTAAAAATGTGAATAGCAAGAAAGGTAGCTAAACGAGTAACTCTTGTATGTAGATTTGCATTGATTGTTATGACAAATCTCTTGGGTGATCTCTAATTGAAGTGTAAATTCATTTTAGTTTGCTTTTTTCAGTTCATTTATTTCACATCAATTACAACTTTCAATGTCCTTTGCTCCAACGCTAAAACATGATTTTAGTTCATCTGACTTTTAATCGATCCCACAGTATACTATATTTTTTAATTTACTTCTTTCTCTCATTTGATAATTGTTTTCAGAGAACCAATTTTACATGTGATGTGATAGTCAGGTCAGTAATCCTTAATGAAAAGGCTTAAATTAAAATAAATTATTATACTAGAAACATCAGTGCTTCTTTAATGATACGCATTTCAACTTCAGCCTTAAATGCATGCAATTGCTAATGCAAGACTTTTCTGCTAGGGTGAGGCTCAGGTTCGTTAGTGGAGAGCTCTTATTTTTACCACGCTTTACTGAATTGAGGCTGCTCAATTGATCCTTACAAAAACTATGGCCATAAATTTTTAATGCATCTTAAAATATTGATTCAAGCAAATCCATAGAACTTTTTATCAAGTATAAGAAAACAGTAGCAACGGTATTTAACCAGCAAACTAATATCATCATCTAAACACGCTGAACTAGTATTGCATAACAGTTCTCAAATAACATTGTTATTCATTTTGGCACCCGCTTCTCTAAGCCAATAACAATAAAGCAGAGGATTACTACCCATTCGTGAGGGATTTATATGGCATAAATCCCCACTCTTAATAATGACTCTTGATCGGCCTCTCGGCCATGTAATATCACTAAAAGGAATTGACCGAGAGTTCATAACATGAAAGGATAAGAAAGCCTGAGCAACGAATTATACATATACCAAACGTCTTAATAATGTTATTAATAATACGATATTTTAATGAGATACATCTACTCGACAATAGACTAAGTATCTCTGATTTGGGGAACGTATTAGAAACAACACAGCCATTCAGTAATGTCCAAAGTACAATGACGTTTCTTACATCCCCCAATATCCATCCCGACTACAAGCTTGTAAGGAAAGCCTGTTGCATGTAAAAACAGCAACTATTCATCAGAATGCATCGAAGATAAACAAGAGACTTGATAATTATTTCTTGCCAAACGAAGCTATTGCTTGACCCTGACTAAAGTACATGCATAAGCAATGGAAAAATACAATGTAACAAAGCATATGAAAGCATCTTTACTTGCCATCTATCCCATTTAAAGTATACAAGCTTATCGAAGAAGTTACAAAAAGCAACGGGAAAAATAACAGGTTATAAATATGCTAATTTAATCAGATAATTCTATTTAATTTCTCTACTTGAATCTCCTATATCGATTGATGTCTCCAGCACCTTTTTTTCCCGTCTAAAACATCTCATTTTCTGTCCACACATCCTAAGTTTCAGATATAATGGTATTTATCTCCATATTCAAATCATGTTTATTTAAACCAAGTACCGTGTACAATCCCACTAGATAGATAGTATTATTGATCACACAACACAATCAATTGGAGTTGTTTATCGCTCACCATGAAATCGCTTTTAATAATTTCCTAAAAAGTTCTTCTTAGTTTATCTATCCCTTTAGGTCTGAATTTGCTCTACTTATCAGTGCCTCGGGTGGCCTTCTTTTACAATTATCCTATATCCTGTCCTTTTGTGGCTCCATATCCTCTTCTAATCATATTTCTACTACTCCCACCTTGTTATCACCACCTCTAAAGCTTAACACATATTACCATAAAATAAAACGTACTTTGAACTTGATCAGTACTTTGGACTCAGTTGGTCACAAATTAATCCAGTGAATTTATCCATTTTAAACACCCAGTTTGTAAACTGCCACGGAAACTTTAATATCACCATCATTTTGTAATATTGAACCATATACTTATTCAAAACCCATAAGAGCAATAACAGTCTTTCCTATGCGTACCACTTATTACGTATCTATATGACAACAAGAAAGCACTTTAACCGACATAAATAATCACAATTGAATTTTTAACCATACCTTCAACTAGTTGATGGGAGAAACACCCTTATAAGCTCTTTCACAGTAATCTTTTTTCTACAGGTAGGGCATTTTCCCTGAGCGCTTATAGCAGCCTTGATGCAATTCTTGCAAAAAATATGACCACACCTTGTCGACATTTCTTCTGCCAAAGGACCCATACATATTGGACAGTTGAAAACAGGCTCAATTCGAGGTTCAGGAAGCACTTTAGCACTATCACTCTACAAAAGAAATATTCAATTCAGATATTGGATTTCCAGTCAACCTTCACAATCGTTTACCAGGTTCTTTAGTTGTTTGATAGAAACAGGTCATTTCACAAAATTAAAGGATGAAGGAAATTAACTTCTGATTGAAATAATAAACTGCTCTAAAAGCACAACATATGTGAAAGCAACCCGTGATATGCCAAAAACATTAAAAATCAATGGAATAAATAAAAAATAGAGTTAGAGTATATAAATGCCTAAATATCACAGCCAGAAGCATATGATGAAGTGGTAATACCAAATTATTTTTAACAATGTGGATATGCAACTTTTACGAATCTAACAAATTTTATTCAGATGAACAAAAGATGAAGTACAAACATAAAATAGTGCCATCTCACTAAGGATTTTTTTACCATAGAACTGCTACTGCCTTCTAAATTTATATACTTCTCACAATTAATAATTGTTTGATTTCGCAATTCTCGTCTGCGCTTGTTGCGCCGAGTCTGATCTTCTGCAACAATCACAAATAACAGATATGTTAATCACCATTATAATAAGTAATCTAAAGATTAAAAGCTAATAAAAAAACTTTCCAGACAATGGATGTTGGAGTAGGCAGAAAACAGAAAACACACAAAACAACAGACCACAAAGGCATAATACCATACATGATTATAAGTTCTCTTAATTAAATTGAAATCCAGAATTTAAATTTAATACTGTTATTTGCTTTAACAACTGCTATGGTCTGCATCTATAAATTAATCAGCGGGATACATTAGCAGGCAGAACTCTCAAAGTCCCTACCATCAGATGTTGGGGCGGCAGCCAGAAAGCTCACAGGCAACAAGGCCAAAAAAGTAGAATGCAAAATAAATTCAATGATATCATACAAGATTAAATTTTTTTTAATGAAATTGAAATCCCGAGTTTAAATTTACTATTATTTTGCTTTAGCAACTGCTCTGGTTGTAAAAGTTAATCGGTGGGATACAGTAATACTTGTACAACACCCAATAACGCAATCAGCATAGAAAAGCATTGGGCGAAAGTTCGGTGAGGCACTACCGAAATATATTATATAGAGATGTGCGCTAAAGGGAAAACACACTCCCCCAATTGTAGAAAGCCATATCGTAGCTACTCTTGCCTATAAACAAAATATGTTCATATCTTCCAGTTGAATTCTATAGCCTTCAATTAACTTTGTTTAGGAAGTGTACTGGCTAAGAGGTTATCTTATATAATAACTATTGTATACTTCTAAAAACATAATGTCCAACATCAGCACAACCTGGTGAAAAATTGCATGACAAAGTGGAGAACAACGTTACCTAGTTCAACATCAACTATAGTCCTCCCACGGATTCTTCTTGATTTGTTTTTAGCCTATGATGGAACACAAATGAGAAAAAAAAAATCTAATTTGCGACAATGAAATATAATAAATGAAGAAAAATAATAGAAAAAACCATAAATGACGGGAGATAAACCTCAGCAAAAGCGCCTGGGGTACATTCAACAACATCATCATCAATGTCTTCCACATCAATCATCGTTGGTTGAGAGGCCGGTGGCTGCTGTTCAACTATAACTCCTAGTGGCCCTGACTGTGTTGAAGGTCCCTCGTGCTCACGATTGTCACTAGCCGGCACAAGATTAAGGTCAAGGTCCAAAACTGCCTTTCTCCTCCGGTAGCTTCTGACAGCAGGTCCCTTGCCTGTCCGAGAACTCATTGGTACACTACTCCCGTACCCAAGCAGCAACCTGAAAATCCCAATCCCATAACGCACAATTCGTAAAAAATCACTCTTAGACCAAGGTCCAGGGATAAAAAATTAGGCCAACTTTTGCGATTAACACAATCATAAAACTGACAAAACAGAAAAAAAAAAAAAACACAACTCAAACAATCTAAAACATCAAAAAACATAGCCGGCAAAGCCGAATAGAATATCAAAGTTCATTCCCATCTTTTCATGGTATTTCTCACATGACTAACTTTCTACGCACCTAAAAAACCAGCCAGAGCTAGATATCATAAAAACCTAAAATGTTTTTACTTCTTGAAGTGACCGGATCCAATTATATCGTCGTACATATAAATCAATTCGTCAGCGGAATATATACAAAAACAAATTAATCGACCTACAAGAAAAATCGCATACACAAGAAAAAGGAAAGGAACGGAAGCGATGGAGGCGGATACGAACCGTTGAGCAAGAAGAAGTTGCGTTGCGGTGGAAAAGAATGAGAGAGAAAGTGATCTGAAAAAGAGATTGAAAGGGAGAAGAGAGACGCAGCGGTGGCGAATCGACGGAGAGAGAGGGGAGAAGGGGGTTAGGGTTTGGGGAGAATTTGAAGGTAAGGGTTATGACTTAAAAGGGGCACGATGGAAGAAATGAAGGAGGACATGGACACAGTTGTGAACGGAGACACGAACGAACAACCCAGCCACGCACGCGCTTCCATTAACCGTGGCCAAACATCACTTAACACGTGCTATTCAATTTTAATATTTTTTCTTCTAACTTTCCAGAAAGCTATTTCTCTTCAAATTGGTGACGGTTTACTCTGAAACAATGATATGCATTAATAATACTGATTATTAATATATAGTATTTAAACTAAAGTTTCAACAATACGCGTTAAAATTGATTAATAATTATTATTATAAGATAAAAAATAATTAATATTAGGTTGAGTTTTGTTTTTTTTTTAAATTAAAAATTAAAAGCGTGGTCGAAACTAAATAGAGCAAGGTGCAAGTCTCTGCACCTTATATTTTTGTTAGATTTTTTGGAATAACTCTTTTAAAAAATAACTATATAATTGTTGGAAGTAAGATTCAACAAAAAGTTATAGCTATCAATTAAATATTAAAATTAAAGCAAAATAAAATTAACAAATAACTGATAATTGTTTTTTGACTGAGTCAAATCAATTCAATTAAAAAATAATCGATTTGTTTATTCTAAATTAAATCAGATAATCAGAAATCCATGAAGCAATTTTTGGGTAACAAATATTGATAATGTAGGGAAGAAAAATGTTGTGCGCTAACATGGTTTTCTCCCTGAAAATTAAAGAAAAGGCATCAAAATACACTGCATTCAAATACTTTTAATATATTTTAAAATATCAAAATCAATAATCATAAATATATTTTAAATATTCAATAGAGAAACCAAACACTAAGTAAAAAATTATAAATTTATGGATTTATGTGTGCATAGTAATAGGTTATATTTCAATTTTTAAGATAGAAGATTTATGTGGATACTAATCACTAATCAAAGTAGTTAAAATTAATATCACTGTTAGAATAATGAAGAGTTCACATCATAACGCCACAATCAATAGGTTTTCCTTTTTACAAAAATATAATATAAAGATATTAGCTTAATTAGTTCGTTAAGGACGTTATTAAAATATCATTTTTTAATTTTTTTTTCGTCTTCGATTTAACATGAGCACGTAGCAATTTATCATCTCAATATTTAGGTTATAAATGGATTTTGTTTTGTTAAAAATCATAGATGATGATGTGTTAACAGAATCTGATTCTTTAATTGTTTTCTTTTTTTTGGAAAATGTCATTTTTATTGTCAATATCTTCTAGAATTCACAACAACTATTCACCTCATAATATATATGAAAAGTTCACCTCATAATATATATGAAACAGTTTTCTAATTCACTGATATACTAAATCTTATGAAACAAATTTTTAAGAAACGTTACGATTTTTTAAAAGATTATTTTTAATATAAAAAGATTGACCAATGATAATTTTTTTAATATACATATATAATTTTTTTTTGCTTTTTTTATATATGAAATTCAAAATATAAAATAATTTTTGTGAAGAAATATTCGAATTCATTATTATCCGTCTATATTTTTACTTAATTTTTTATAATAAATATTTTGTCCAATTTAATCATAAATTTAATATAATTTTCTTTATCTTTCTATTTTTTTATTTTTAATAAAATACTTATATATTATTTGAAAAAAAGTATACTTCAAACCAATTTCCTTTTAACGAACCCAAATCTTAAAATTTTATCTTCTTTTAATCTCAATATTTTCAATTTATCTCTAAGTAAGCTGTTTTCAATGGATTCAAATCAAAATTCTTTGAATATAAATCGGTGGTTTATTTTCATGAAAAAATATTTAAGTTCCCGGTAAACCAAATTGCAAACAATTTAAAATCCACAAAAGAATCCAAATTAAAATATGGAAAGTTTTCAACCCATATTCTCATATCATCCCTATAAATTTTCAGCATATATTTGTAAACCGCACCAATTACCATGGTTCATCCTTTTAAATCAAAGGTGTTTTAACTATGTTTTATCTTTCTTATATTTCAAGCATCAGCAAAAAGTATTTATCAAAACACTGATCAAAATTCTATTACTATAATCCAAAATTTTATAAAAAAAAAGTTACTAATAAAATATTATGACACGAGCTTTTGGTGAGACTCGTTAAAACAATCAGTTTTATTGCTTAAAGTTGTTTGTAATGGAAAAGGAAAATGAAATATATTACACAAGATTTTTGTTCGAGTCTAATCAAGCATTCCCGATAATACTAGCAAATGAAAATACTTCATTCAAGTTACACAAGAAATTAGGTGATGACAACTAATGGTTCGAGCTTTTGCAAACATTCTCAAACAGCAACTTGTCCTTGTGAAATAGTCAAAAGAAAAATGCCATAAGTTGTACAAAATCTCCATGCCCAAGTAAAACGGGCATTAATATCAGACTGCAGGAAGTTGTCACCAAATTTAAGGATTTAATTTAAAGCAATTGAAATCGTCCGACAAAGCATGGTAGCCAATACCTGAGTGCTACTATTTTTAATGTCTGTGTCTACTACGGTCCCGATCTCGTCCATAATCTCTGTCTCTGTCAACATAATCCCAGTCTCGATCTCGATCTCTTCCCCTGTCCCTGTCTCTGTCCCTATTCCAACTGCTTTGCCTCTCTTTGTCACTTCGCTCTCTGCTCCTGCTCTCCCCATCATTACGTTCTCTTCCTCTGTCTCTACTTTCTCTACCATCCTTGTCTATCCCTGTCATTGGTATCATATACAACAAGAACACGGTTACTGCCGGTCCAATCAATTCATTATTTCATATTAACGTCTTAAACGATTATATCAACAAGTACATCCTCACTAATTTGCATATCCACGTCCCAATAAACCAGGAGAGCTTAAAAAACATGGCAATATCAAATGTATAAAATAGTACAAAACTAATGACCAGCTCATTATAATAAACCATGAAACCTGATGCGTACAATGTAATAAACCATGAAACTTGATACGTACAATGTAATAAACCATGAAACTACTACATAAATAGATGCACCAAGACAACCAATAACCAGTTTGATTTAGTATGCAGGATCAGAAAGCAAAAAGTCAGACAGTTAACTAGTTGCATAGGCCGAAAAGGAACAATGAAAAGATATAACTAGAGAAAAGATAAATTATATGCAACTATAATTCTAAGAGAACATGCAACTCTAATTGAAAACGATAATTCCATCAGACCTATAACTATAATGATTATCCAGAAATGTATGTGTTATGGAACGTGTGGGGGAAAGAGTGCAGGTGGGAGCTTCACTAGCTCAAAAAGTATTAGTGCAGGTTGAGGTTGCTATATAATAATAAATTATGGAGTGCAAGCACTCTAGATATGCAGTAATACCTAGTTCTTCAACCTCCCAACCAGCACGTCCTGAACCAGGAAGCCCACGCGCAGCTTCAGCTTGCTGTGTTTTGGCGCGGAATTTTTTCTTTAGATTTCCAAATTCATCATACAACTCCCCATCATCCTGACAGTAAAAAACAGATTATAAGACAAACGTGGTATTTAAGACAGAGGTAGTATATGTTACTCTCAACCAATCTTACTTCAGCTTCCCTCCTACGACGTCTGGTTTCTTCTATTTCTTCTTCATCAAGCTCTTTGTAACCTCCACCACGTCCTCCTCTGTTAATCAGACAGTATAACCTTAGGAGAATATTTGAAGTAACATTTTAACTAAAATACAAAATATGATTGGTAAAAAGATACACAAAATTGAAGTATCAACTTCAATGCAACATATGAAAAAACAAAGGGGCAAATTATGATGAAGGAAATCCAACATTTTCAAAAATGGAAAATAGTGGTTAATCCATGCTTAAAGCATGTATACTTCAGTTAATTTTACAACTAAGTCGAACTTTGGTTGCCAAGACATCATAAGTTGAAATTCTCCCAGTCTCCCAAAATGAAATACTTCATGATATTTCACATGAAACAACACCATGCAAGACATTCTACAGGGACAGACCTCACATTTCATTGTACGGTGCTTTTATGCTGTGAAAAGATCGTAAACATCTGCTGATATTTTAATGAATGAAAGCCGTGCTACATTTCTATTTAAAAAACAAATTGGTGACTTTGTGTACTTCGATATAGAGAAAAGCATGATGCAATAATTTTCTCCTTGCCCCATGGACACTGATATACAACTAGGACACAGCCATAATCATGCAGAGGCGGCATCAAATGATTATTCAATTTTCCACACACGTACAAATTGCTAAATGAGATTTGAACAGATAAAAAATAAATAATATACAGGCATCAGCAACCAGCATTTATATGGCTATACTAGACTTCTAAAATTTAATTTCTAAAATCTGACTGGATTAAAAGTGCAATGCCACAAAATGACAAGGGCAATGCTCAAATGATATATAAAGAGACAAATCAAATTACATTTGTACATAATGCGTGATAATGTGTACATCATAATTTGCCTTCAAATATAACTACCACATTATGACATGACATGCATGTTTGGTTTACCTTTTTTCTGGAAAAATAATTGCTTGCTTTTCAAAAGTTCTAGTAGAAAGCTGGCAAAAAAATGATGATTTCTCTAGAATAAGCTGAATCAATCATGCAAACAAGTATCTATCTATCACAACGGAAAAAAAAAAGCATTTTCTCCATAAGCCCCTGTGTACTTAATTAGAAATAGAAGGCATAAAAAAATCAAAAAATACCTTACACCACCCTCATTATGCCCAGGCTTATTTGTATTGCAAATATTACATTTAGTCCGCTTCGCCCAGTTGATATTGCCACACCTAAGAAAAAAGAGCATGATAAAGGCAATTCATTACACTAATTTTATTTTAAAAAACACAAAGTGTACACAAGTGACATGCAAGTTGAAAATCAGGTATAAATACCTCAAACAGGTGTTAAGTAAAATATGACTCTCAAGAAATGAAGAAACTTAGTTGATACAAAAATTAGTAGGGACGGAACAGAAATTATTCCATAAACCATAGCCAACAAGTAATGAATACCAAAATCACAGAAGTATGTAATGTTGCCACACATTATTGTAAGAAATGGAATTAAAATTTATGAAAACACAAAGCCAATCACCACAAGGACCAAGTAAGGACAG